CGAAATATAATTGGCTAGTGCCATAAAAAAGTCACATGGCCGGAAAATTTTTTGTGGGTGAGCTACTAACGTCTTTACGTACACTCTACCCTTAAAAGATCTTATAAACGCTTTAGTCAAAAGGGAAATGTGGCGGATAATACTGTACCTATGTTAGAGATGCGAACCGTTTGCCGATCCTAGCAGTTTTCGGAAATAATTAACCGTAATGCGGGCCAAAAACTGTTGGATCGGCAAACGGTTCACATCTCTAACCTATGTTCAATCACAATCTTAAATGAGAACGATCTGCAAAATACAGACAGAAAAGATTAAAAGAAGTTAAAATAGAATGTTGCATATGCTATCTAATAGTATAATCCTGCACTTAAAAGATGCTGGAACGTTATAAAGAATATATTCAAGTAAATGGATATATTCAAAATTTCATTAATTTCAAGCCATCATATTTGAGGCCAAAGAAATTTCTTTTAATAATTTCATTTGTCGGGACGCTAATTACTTTATTCATATCTTATAAAATACACTTTGCGCCTAATGCTCCTTATAAATATAATCAGTTTATTGGAAAGGAAGCATACAGAAATGGCATTATTAAATGTAACATGATAAAAAGTGATAAGCCTAATAATAAGAATACACGAACAAGTAATCCTAGGTTTGTTCCAGGAACAAAAACAATTATTTTCAAAAACGGAATTATTTTGAATGGAAACAGAGAAAAGATTTTAGGTGATATCATCTTAAAAAACGGATTAATTCATGCTATCGGTCAGAACCTTTCAGATGAGGGTGAAGCTATTGTAATTGATGTTAAGAAGAAATACATTACTCCTGGACTCGTTGATATGCACAGGTAAAAACACTATAAAAATTTGAGATTTGATATAATCTAACAATTTATCTTAATCTATGCATATAAATAACCGAAATAATTTACAGCCATGCTGCTATCGCGTCTTGGCCATCTTTAATTGCTACTGATGATGCTAGTGAAATTTCCTATCCGCTTACACCTTACGTTTGTATTCCATAGTATTATTATTTGGAAAATTCTTATACAAATATATATTTATCATTTTCCACACAAGCATATTAATTTTTTTGAATCAAAATTCTTCTCCAATAATATCTTTTAAATTCAGGTTCGTACGCAAGATGGCATCAACCCGAGTGATCCAGGTTAGCAAATGAAACCAATGATTTGAGCAACAACCTATATACAATTGCATTATACAGTATTTATTTAAATTTATTTCGTCTTAGAAATTCGAATAATTGCATCTGGTGGTATTACAACTTCATTAGGTAAGCGGGATCATATTCTATAAATGCACACTAAGAGTATTACATTTGTTGAATGCTAAGCGATATTTACATCTTGCTATCTTACTGGAACAAGTTTGAACTACAACGGTTAATTTAATTTCTTGCGTTTAAAATAGTTTTACCTGGTAGTTTGAGTTTAATGGGTGGTGAAGGTTTCGTTATCAAGATGAGACCAGTTGATACTGTTTCAGTGGACGATATGGGAATTAATGCAAACATTGATACAAAGAAGGAAAGAGTTTGGCGCTGGTTGAAAATGGCTTGTGGTGAAAATCCAAAGGTGAGTACAAAGTATTTTTTATCATCGTGATATCTTAATGACTATATTTTGAATCCTAATTTTTTGTGTGACAAAGGAATATTTTGGTTCTCGTAAGCAAATCCCCAGCACACGATTAGGAGAAGCATGGCTCTTCCGTAAAATGTTCGCTGAGGCGCAAGAATTGAAACAGAAGCAAGATGATTGGTGTAATGCTGCAGCAAAATTAAGTGATGGTGAACAATTGAACTCATATTTTCCGGAGGACCTTCAACTCGAAAGCTTGGTGGCATTATTAAGAGGGGATGCGAAGTTAAATCTTCACTGTCTTGAGGTTTAATTTAAGGTTTTATTAATACTCGCATATTTATAAAAATTCTGATCTAAAATGTTATATAGATATTCGACGTGGAAACAATGATTCGAATTTCCTTGGAATTTAATTTTACTATTGCGGCCATACATCATGCGTCAAGTGCTTATATGATTACTGATATTATTAAAAAACGAGTAAAAAATAATATTACTATTGCAACGTTTTCTGATATGTGGGGACATAAAAAGGAATTATTTCAAGCTAGTACAAAGACACCCAAAATTTTTGCAGATGCGCAAATTCCTGTAGCTTTGAAATCTGATCATCCTATAACAAATTCGGTATGTCGTTTGTAAATGTTTTAGATAATATATATTTTATTCTAATCAAGAGTAGATGTTAATTATAGAAACATTTGGCATATGAAGCTGCCAAAGCTTATCATTATGGCCTTGATGAGCATCATTCTCTTGCAGCCATTACATCAGTGCCCGCAAAAGCACTTGGTCTAGATCATCGAATTGGTCAAATTTCTTTAGGATATGATGCTGATGTTGTGGTAATACAACATATCATTTGACAAATGCTATTAAAATGTTTTTTATTTATGATTATTTTTTTTATTAGGTTTGGGATTCTCATCCCCTTTCATTGGGCGCAACACCATTAGAAGTTTATATCGATGGAATTCCTCAATTTAACACTCCTTTAAGCGTCCTTAGTAATGAAACACCAAAGCAATCTTTATCAGATAATATGCCAAAATCTGATTTTGCCAGTGAGCCTGTTAAATCACGGACAGCTTCTTCAGTCATATTAAAAAATATTGCCAGAATTTACGCTGATAAAAATCACACATATTCATCAGTAGAAGGGAATATTAGCATCATAGTTAAAGGTGGCATTATTGAATGTATTGGTATTAATTGCATAATACCAAGTAATATTTCATCGTATGAAATCATTGATTTAAATGGTGGCTATGTAATACCGGTATTTTTTTTTTTAAGCAATATCATTTTATATATTAAAGTTCGTATATAAATCTCTAAGTCTATTCAAAAAATTAAAGGGAATTATTGCTTTTGGTCCCGCTTTGGGATTAGCAGAGATCGAAATAGAATCCTCTGCAAGTGATGGGCAAGTGGTTCCTATAAACAATCCATATGATGTTGAAGATATTATATATGCAATAGATGGATTAAAATTAGGTGGAAAGCATTTAGAAGCAGCGTATAAAGCTGGAATACTTACAGCAGTCACTGCACCTCTTTCTTCTAAAAGCGCGATTACAGGGGTTTCTATGGCATTTAAAACCGGTGCTCGTTCTAGTAAGATATTTCATGGGTACTCTTTTGACAATTATTTTATCTAAAATTTGCAGGAACTTATAAAATATATTTTATTTTATCAAGTTTTTGATAATGGATCAATTATAAGTGAAAATGTTGCATTACATGCTCAGATAGGCACTCCATACAAAGATGGTAATATTTAATCATATTAGTAATCGCGAATTCATTTTATTTACTTATATTAAGACTTTATTTTCAATTAAAGACCGTATACCAACAGTTTCAGGTCAGATTTCTCTTATCAGAAGAACATTAATAAAAAATCTTGCACAACAAAATATCATCGGTCGCGTTGCACGCGGTGATATTCCGTTAATAGTATATGTTGATAGTAAAGATGAAATTGCTTCTTTAATTAAATTGAAAATTCAAATTAAAAATTATGGAGGAAATTTAAAGCTTGTGATTTCAGGTGGTGCTGAAGCACACATGCTTGCGATCGAATTGGCCAAAAATGAAATTCCAGTAATACTTAACCCATCAAGGCCTACTCCAAGGTTATGGACAGCTCAAAATGTACTTATGGGAGCTCCTATTACTAATAAAACTGGAATAGATATACTTTATGCAAATAATGTTAAGATAGGAATAGGTGTGGATTTATTTTCGTTAGGATTTAAATCATTTTTATTAGGATTTGGCACGGAAAGAAATTTAATTTGGGATGCTGGTTGGGTATCACGAAATTCCAAAGGATTAATTTCACAAAAAGATGCTATTGGATTTATTACATGGAGCTTGGAAGAAATCCTTGGCTTAAATATGAGAAATGGGTTGCTTAAAGGCAATATTGCAAATTTTGTGGCATATAATGGAAATCCTTTTGATATTAGTACGAAAGTAAAGATTGTTGCTGGTGGTGGTAAAACTGATATTCTTATTGATCCTGAACAAGACTAAGATAAAAATACGGTATATTTTATAAAATATTTCTACACTTTTCAAATTACTGTGGGTTAGTTTCAAGAATGCAAAAATGTGAATCCAATGATCTTAGTGTTCATCGCATCACATGATTAAACACTCGGCCTGCGTTAGGTTAGTGTTAAGGTTATATGAAGTATAGTTTAGGCCAGTGTTAATTTTTCAGTTAAAATTTATTGCACAATTTATAGACTTTTTTTGTGCGTTAATAAATAAAAAAGCTTAAAGAAACTATCTGCAACTGTGTGCATATATACAAATTTCAATTTTGTTCGGCAAAATTTGTTCTGTGTGCTGCGCACAGCTATAGATGGTGAAATTCATTTTCAGTTTTTTTTTTAATTTCAACCATAATTTCAACATTTTTAATATTTTTATATATTTAATATAATGTCAGGCTTTAATTAATTTTTAATATATTTTAAATTAATTATTTTTAATATAAAAGTTTTCAGGACGTCTGAAACCTCACGAGAGCTGAAATCGAGACCTTATATCTGATCTACATTATGTAATATAAAACTCCTCTTTTATTCTAAAACTGCACCTTAGCCCTAAAATTCTTAGGATGGTGAATTTCACCACCGGTGAATATTAAATAAATTCTATTAAAATACTAATTTCAATAATTTCAACAATTTTGACAAAAATTTTTCATTAAGAAGGGTAAATACACGCAATCCGCACAGTGAAAAATAAAACAATGACGTTATTACATGATTTCACGTGATGTGATGATCACTGGATTTATTGTGTCTCTATCTATGTAAAGAGATGAAGTTTTACAACCCCAGGCAAACCTTATAAGTCAGTGAAAATTGAAATAGCTCAAAGTCGGAGCTGGTTTATTAACGAATGAAAAATTATCTTTATATGATATACCCTATAAAAAAAGATTATCCATGGAATGGGGCAACTTGCATACTGTGTCACAATTATTATTCCATGAGAAAATGCATTTTTAAAAAGTCACAAGAAAATAGTACCCAAATTTGACTATATTTGCGGGTCATATGAGTTTTAGTACATGGAGTATCGTGATCTAAATATTTTTAAACAACGTATCACAGAATGAATATCCATGAAAACAAACCGTAAATTTTGTATTTTACAAAAATACTGAAATATTTAGAGGTAAAATATTCCCATTTTTTATTATAGGATTGTGAAATTACACATGTTGAATAATAGTAAATTGGCTACAAAATTGATACCTGATTTTAAATTGGTTATTACCGATTGATGTCGATTTATGTTGCAATATAAATCAGCATCAATTGAGTTGTAATCGGGTAATAATCAGTTTAAGATTGTCATCATTCGACCTATGTTATGATGATATTCATGTAAAGACGCAAAATTAAATATTCAATTACTCTAATTCTTCAAGAAATAAATTAAATTTCTTTTTTTTGGCCCACTGCGTTATCATTAGTTAATTTAAAAATATTAGTAAAATATCAGTATCTAATATGCAACTTATATGTAACCTAAAGCTAGTCTATGCTTTATAATTTTTAATAACCAATTTAGGTTACATATAAGTTACATATAAATTATATATCAGATGCTGATTATTTACCGATACTTAGATTTTATTTTGCTATGGGTTACCAGATTCGGAATATTTGTTATTTTGAATCTTAGAAACATGTTCTGAAACTAATTTCAAATAGATTTTGTTTGTTACACATATACTCGTTAAATTGATGCTAATTCCTTATTACAATGATATTTAAAGAAATTCAATAGAACTCATAATAAGATATCCCATAACTATACTTAAAGTTTGTTAATTTTATATAAATATACTAACTTGTTGTTCAACTTTTTTCATACTATTTATCCAATAATTTAATTAATGGTGTTGAATGTTTTGTTGATCAACTCTTTCGTGACTCAAGAAACCATTTTGCAAAGCTAAAATTTTTTAAATTAAATAACTATACATAGATAAACAGTAAACCATTATTTTCAAAGCCTAACTTCTATTTTTGGGTTTCGAAAAACATCCGAATATAACAACCTTTAAGTTGGTTTTGGAGCTCTTGAGCCTTTACATTACGGTAAGATTTTTTATCAAAGATGCATGACGCCGTATTAGTCTTGTAAAACATAATGGCGCTAAATTTGCATAACTCAGTCCCGTACTCGAGATACACTAAAGCATTAACTATTAGCATTAATATATAGCGATAGATAAATTTAAAAAAAGAAGATAATTATAAAATACAAGGCTTTAGTGCATCTCCATATTTGGGATTATCCCGCTATAGTTCTCGTTTTAAGAACATTCTTTGAAGCTAGCATCAATGAATATTACAATTCTAGGCCAAACTAATATCAACAACTTTATTAATAAACAAATAATATCTTACAATATTTTTATAAATAGCAATTTTTTTTTTGATTATCACGTATAAACATCAAGAATGGTTTTCAATTCTGATATCAAAACTTCACAAGATGGGGTTTTCCATTACGTAACAGGCAGCAAAATCCCAGATAATAAAATAATTTATCTTGATGGGACTACTAATAAAGGGTATACTTTTGGCCAGTTTAAAAGTGAATCAAAAAAGTTCGCTGCTGGGCTACAAGATAAAGTTGGATTTAAACATGGTGATGTTTTAGCGATTTATTCCATAAATCAGGTAACATACTCAATCCTTTATTTTTATTCATTCATTCGTTTAATTTAACGATATCAATATTTTAAAGATTGATTATCCTATAGTCCTCTTGGGAACTATTGCTGCTGGTATTATATAATTTATATTAATTATTATATATTTCAATTTTGTTACTATGAATTTGAATTGGGAAAATAATATGTAATATGACGTTGCAAGAAAATAGTTAGATATTTCTTTTAGAAAATTCGACAAATTTTCTGATTCAACTGAAGTTAGCTGCATCATTTGATTGCGTGCACTGTTCATATTGGTTAATTTCGGTTGAATCAGAAAAATTGCCGAAGGGCACCTATTCTAAAGATCCTAACTAATATTAAAGATATCGCATAAATAAACGCTTTGGAATTGGGCGAATTTCCAATTAAATCTTGGATTCACAGTGGTGCTTTCCCTAAACATTAAAATTAGTCAAATTTAATGAAAATAGTTGTGATTTAAACCATTCTATTAGAAATTACAACATTGAATAAAATTCTAATATATATATTTTTTCTGATTTTGTAATTCAAACCAAAAATTATCATTAAAACTTCTACCATGAAATTCACATTTTAATCTCAAATTATAATGTTACGTTTTTTAGGAGGCAAAGTAACACTAGTAGATCCAAAATACGTAGCAAGCGAATTATCATTTCAATTAGTCGATTCTGGGGCATCTATTCTGATCGTACATCCAAATTTACTTGAAACCGCTATCACTGCTTCAAAAGAAATAAACATCCATAACATTAAGATATTTTTATTTGGTGACAATGAAATAAGTGGATATAAACCTTTTCGTTCCGAGTTAATTAGAAAGCGTGAAATTGAACCAATTTACTACACTCCGGAGGATGCAAATTCAACGACAGCTTATATATGTTATAGTTCTGGAACCACAGGAAAACAAAAAGGAGTCGAAATAACTCACACGAATTTTGTTGCAAATTTAGCACAGCTTTATAGTATTGAAAAGGACCTTGGTCCGCACAGTATCCTTGCTGGTGTCTTGGTATGTAAAATTATTAAATTAAATTTTTATTAAAATTTTAATTTTTTTTTTTAACCTTTCAATCTTTTCAATATAGCCCTTTTATCACATATATGCATTAATTTGCTGCATCCATGTACCTTTGATTTACGTGAGTTCTAATCTCTATAATGACCTAAAATTATAAAATATATTTTATAAAAAAATTTACTGTATCGTTATTAAAGGGAGCTACTGTGGTCATCTTTCCGAATTATAATATAGAAACTTTCTGTTTTTATATTGAAAAGTATAAAATCGACTATGTTTATGCTGCACCGCCGATTATACTTGATCTTGTAAATTATTCAGATGCTATAGAATATTTGTCGAGTGTGAAAATGATTGTATCCGCTGCAGCCCCCGCTAGGTGATGATTTAGCACGTGCATTTTATGAGCGCTTTAAAATACGAATTAAACAGGCTTATGGTAAATTTCATGTCCAACCTTGGTTTTTATCTAAAACTCATTAATTAAAATTTATTCATTCTTACTTTATATATCAAAGGGCTTACTGAAGCATTAATAATATGCTATTCTGATTCAAATAATATAATTGCTGGTACTGTAGTGTATAGTTAAATAATGCTTTTAGTAATGATAACAAATTTTCATGATTTCTTATTTATTATGATTTTTAATACACAAAAATTAGGTTCCTGTGGGACTCCCCTCCCAAATATTAAAGTAAAAATATTATCTGCTGATGGCAATGGTAATATATACTCATCTTCTCATTTATGTAACAAGCAAAATTTATTGATGTTTTTATACTATAGAATTAGGTCCCAATAAGCATGGAGAATTATGCGTTCATAGTCCAGCTGTAATGAAGGTATAATGAGATCATTACACAATTATATAATATTTATATAATTAATATTGTCTACTAATCGTTAACTGAATAGGGATATCTCAAGAATTCAGAAGCTACAAATACTGCTTTTGACAATTATGGGTTTCTTCATACGGGAGACTATGCACGTGTTGATGACCAAGGTTTAATGTGCTTATTTTAATTCTTAAATAATTACATCAGTATATTAAAATTATATTACTGTTACAGGAAATTATTATATTGTTGGCAGAATTAAAGAATTGATTAAATACAAAGTACTATGAAATAAGTTTTTTAATATTATTATTCTCGATTAAAAATTTTATTCATGATCTCAATTTAAATTTTGTGCATAAGAGATTTTCTGTGGCTCCAGCTGAACTAGAATCGATTTTACTTAAACACGAGAAGATATTCGATGCTGCAGTGATAGGTTTCTATTCCGAAAAAGATCAAACCGAACTACCTATAGCATATATCGTGCTTAAATCTGAAGAAAATGAAAATAATAAATCTCTTAAGAATGAGATAATACAATATGTAAATAGTAAAGTTGCCCCGCATAAGAAAATAAGAGACTTGCTATTTATAAATAAAATTCCCAAAAACAAATCAGGAAAGATTCTAAGAAGAGAGTTAAGAGAATTACTCTTAGTGAATATGTCGAGGATCAAGGTAATTTTATTATTTAATTTTTAGAGTACATTTATTCCTCGTCCAGGGTGAGATTTGATAGTTCATTCTCTAAGATTACCCAATAAATGTGCAGGATCAGGTTATAGCGTTAAATATCTAAAATTTTAGATTCATGTTTCCAGAGAACAAAAAATTTTCAGATATTTTTCACTGTCAGATATAACAGCAAATCGTTTTTGTGCAACAACCCGATATTTTGCTTATATTTCTTGCATAATTTTATATTTAATGTTTTGACCCTTAGCCGTTAATATTCAGGCTGAGGTGGTTTTAAAAAAAATAGAGTAAGAGAGGATAAATGCATAATTTACCTGGGTGTTGAATAAATTATATTTATTTTAATTTAATTAGTTATTTGCATACTAATCAGTAAATATATTTAATAGTTATGAGGCACGAAGTGCCGAATAACTGAGGTATTTGCAGAATGTGATTTGATTGGTCGATTTTAA